ATCTATCTTTCTATCTATCTAACTATCTATCTATCAGTCTGTCTGTCTATCTATCTATCTATCGATCGATCTATCGATCTATCGATCTATCGATCTATCGATCTATCGATCTATCGATCTATCGATCTATCTATCTATCGATCTATCGATCTATCTATCTTTCTTTCTTTCTTATCTATCTTATCTATCTTATCTATCTAATCTATCTAGTCTATCTAACCGATTTAATCTATCTAATCTTTCTTATTATCTACCTATCCATCCATCCATCAATTTGTTTCTCTTCGTACCCATCTACCTATCTGCCTACCCACCCGTCTACTTATCCATTCATCCATCCATCCATCTATCTGACCATCTGACCTCCTCTATTTGTCCCAAAACTTTTTTCTCGGCAGATCGCAACGTGAAATTCAGCGAGACTTCCTCAATTTTTGCACTTGACAACGTCAAACACGAAGCAATTCTGAGACTTCCCCATTTTTTTCAGTTGGCAACATCAAAAACGAAGCAATTCTGCGAGACTTCCTTCAAAAATGGAAAGTTGAGTGCAGAAATGACAGCCTCGTACCAATGCGTTTTGCGATTTTTTAATCCATCTGTCTAAACTACTGCGCCTGCCAGGAAAAAGTGATGCCCGGTCATACGAAGTGCTCCTTCTCCTCAGTCTTGGAGTCGGCATGCACCTGTCACGCAAAATCATCCCAGCAAACCTGAAGATCGGAGGCTCCAAAATGCAAACCTTCTCAGGAAATCAGCGCCCTGACCCCCTAACATCTCTGATAAATATGTCTCTTGTACTGCGCCTGCCACGGAAAATATATCTTTGCAGATCCTCTTCAAATGTCCCACGCCTGCCATTGTTTTTGGAAATGCTACAAAACCCTCACGTTTTGCTCACTTTTGACACGGTGCACAATCCCTTGCGCCTGCCACGCGAAACGACATCTGAACGTCAAAAAGTGGTCCGAGCATGCGGTGTTTATGTTTTGTTCGTTTTTACTGCGAAATGTGCTTCGCCCCACAACGGCGTGCATTTTTTCGACATCTCAACTTCAAAAAGTGCTCCGAACCTGGTGTGCTTTGTGCATTTTGACTTCGAAATGTGCTTCGCGCCACAACGGTGTGCACTTTTTCGAAATCTCAACTTCCAAAAGTGGTCCGGACCAAGCAGACGGTGAAACCACGACAAGCAAATTAAATGCAGCACAACAACAAGACAATTGCTTCCACAACAGCATTATTGATTTTTGCAATTTTCCATCAGATTTGGCAATTTCCCATCAGATTTTGCGATTTGCCATCAGAATTTGCCATCAGGTTTTGCCATATCCCATCATTTTTTAGGTTAGCTCCAAAGTGGGATCGTACAGGTTAAGCTGGGATCGTGCAGGCCAAACTGGGCCGGCACGGGCCAAACCGGGCCAAACTGGATAAAGTTCGGGCCAAACTGGGATCTCACGGGCCAAACTACTATCGTACGCGCTAAAGTGGGATAACCCAAATACAGGCGGGCGCTCGCATAGGCCTAGCTGTTAGATGGGGCAAGTTTGTCGTGCTTAGCGAGGTTTTTCCGAATTTGCTTACCGGGGTCTGATTGCAAGCTTGTTTGGGGGGACTTCCCCCCGGTCTTGTCGGGATTTCAACGTCCTCTCAGTCCGGACCTGGTGTGCTTTGTGCATTTTGACTTCGAAATGTGCTTCGCGCCACAACGGTGTGCACTTTTTCGAAATCTCAACTTCCAAAAGTGGTCCGGACCAAGCAGACGGTGAAACCACGACAAGCAAATTAAATGCAGCACAACAACAAGACAATTGCTTCCACAACAGCATTATTGATTTTTGCGATTTTCCATCAGATTTGGCAATTTCCCATCAGATTTTGCGATTTGCCATCAGAATTTGCCATCAGGTTTTGCCATATCCCATCATTTTTTAGGTTAGCTCCAAAGTGGGATCGTACAGGTTAAGCTGGGATCGCGCAGGCCAAACTGGGCCGGCACGGGCCAAACCGGGCCAAACTGGATAAAGTTCGGGCCAAACTGGGATCTCACGGGCCAAACTACTATCGTATGCGCTAAATTGGGATTGTGCGGGCCAAACCCAAACTGGGATGGTACAGGCGGGCACTCGCATAGGCCTAGCTGTTAGATGGGGGGCAAGTTTGTCGTGCTTAGCGAGGTTTTCCGAATTTGCTTACCGGGGTCCGATTGCAAGCTTGTTGGGGGGGACTTCCCCCCGGTCTTGTCGGGATTTCAACGTCCTCTCAGTCTGGACCTGGTGTGTTTTGTGCACTTTGACTTCGAAATGTGCTTCGCGCCACAACGGTGTGCACTTTTTCGACATCTCAACTTCAAAAAGTGCTCCGAACATGAGGTGCCTTTAGCTTTTTCACTTGCAAATGTGCTTCGCGCCACAACGGAGTGCAATTTTTCATCTCTCATCTGGCCAGCTGGCTCCGCACCCGCCGCTGTAGCGAGCCTACTTTTCGACCCTCCGGAGCGACAAATCATGGGAAAGATGCAGTGTTTAGCGACTTTCCTACCTTTTCGCGCACCTGGATCTTCTTTCTTCTCCGACTTTCTCTTTTGTGATCTTATTTCTTCTCTTCTCTTCTCGTCTCGTCTCTTCTCGTCTCGTCTCGTCTCTTCTTTTCTCTTTTCTTCCCTTCTCGTCTCTTCTCTTCTCGTCTCTTCTCTTCTCGTCTCTTCTCTTCTCTTCTCTTCTCTGACTCTTTCCATCTCTGCTTTTCATCTGTCCATTTTGTCGGAAGTTTGACTTCTAAACTTCCGTCGAACATGCATTTAAATATAGTGTGAGACGGCTGTTCTATCAGTTTGTTTGGAATTAGTTGGATTACCATTCTTGACATGGCGACCTCCCTTTGAATCATGACATGACGGGATCCCAAAACCGAGCGTTTCTGGGCGTTTCTGGTCTGAGAATCATGGCCAGGCGGCCAGACTTTGTGAAGTACTTTGAAGCGTTTTGAAGCCTTTTTGATGTCTTTGATGAAGGCCTAAGGGAAGAATTCCGGTCTTGGTATCCAGGTAAGACTGAGATGGAATGAAACTGATCTGAACAAAGTGCCAGCAAAACTTATTTGTAGTGTTTTCTTTACCGCTGCAGTTCCAAGGATCTGGACCCGGATTTAGAAACTCAGCCGCAGCTGTAAACATGCAGTAGTGAAGTACGATTCATTCGGAACATTTTGAAACCTGTCACATTTCTCAGAGCTGGAATGGCACAGGGTTTTCTGGAATCTCTACTAATGCCTACAACGTCAGGAGTCACTCTGGGCAGTTTGTGTATGTTTGTTACTTTCCAGGACAATCACGCTCGGCCAACCATGCCGAGCATGCTAATTACTGTTCATTTGGAAAACTGATTTTGGGGGCCTGGGGGAAGCAATGGAGGTGGTGCGCACTGAGGTAACATACAACACTTTGATTGGTGCGTGTGGTGGGGCTGGCCTGTCACTAGATCAACCGCTGAAACAACCAGCACAAGACATGAAAGGAGACTAGACATTGAAAAAAATAAAAGGAAGACACATGAAGACACCAAACTTCTCAGAGAAATGTGGCTGACAAGTGTGACTCCTTCAGGAAATTTGACCCACTGAAGCCTTCAGGTCGAGGTCGTGTGTTGTGCCAGGATGGGGCCAACAATGGAAGGCAGCTGTTGGTTATTTGAGCCGCTTGGCACAGGATTCGAAGGACAGACATCAATCTACAGACCATGCCCCAGCCAAGGACACATTGACACAGTTCTAAATCTAAGGAATGATGCAACAGAAATCTTACTTTGATTACGACCTCATCTCTTACACCGTCCGGGCCTCCGTAGATGACAGCTTACAGTCTTTGTTGAACCCAAGGTGAATGCGATTGCAAGGTACTGCAAACATTGATGACTTCAAGCGTTTTTGATTGAATGTTGTGTGTAGCCATGTGCACACAAATGGAACCGACAAATATATGTCGTAAATGCACATCCCAGTTTGGCTCAGTCGCGCTCGCGGCTTTTATAGTCTCCAACGGGGGCTGTGATGATTGGGTGATGTTTGGCGATTTCTTCGGAATCAGTCCGCAAGGAGAACAAAGCCCGAGCAAAGAGAACCGAGGGTCGATCTTTGGTTTCGAGATACTTCGTTCACCTCTGGGTTCACCTCTGGGTTCACCGCAGGTTCCTCAAACAGTGCCACAGCGGCAGGACAGTCCGCTCCAAGCTCCAGGCCGGACCTGCAATTGCTGCGGGACTGGGGCTGCTGCGTTTGACCAAGATGCCCTCGGACTAAGCCCTGCCAGTGGCCCATCCGTCAAAATCTCTGATGTCAAGGATGTGATGCGGCACTGGGCAGACGTTGATGGTGACTTCCTTGCTAAGTCGGGGTCATTCCCAACCGCAGCAGATCCGAAGACAGATGGTGAGCACAGTGAGGATAGAGAGCCACAAGAGCAGCTGCAGTCACATGGATCTCCTGTTGCAGCGTCACCTGCAGATGATTGGGCTCAAGAGATTCTACAAGACATAGAGCAATTTGGGCATCCAAATGTCCTTGATCATTTCATTGTCATGTTGCTGAAGCGTGCGCAGTCCAGACGCATCAACGAGAACACGTGAGAGTCGCAAATTTGGCGTAGTTCCTCAAGTTTTCAATGCGCTGGGCTTTGATCTAGTTACTACGTTAGTTCATGTTAGTTCCATCTCTTTCTCGGACAGCTCACACACTACATCACCGTGCTTCCATGTGAGATCCGTTTGGGATCTCAAGGGTCGACGATCGTAAGAATCAGTGTTGCAAACTCGTTTTTGCATTGTCACCTGTGAAGACGGAAGTGCTGTGCGTTTGGTGTGTGTGTATGTTTCACTTTAGCGACATCCTCTTTCAGGACAGCCCATTTGCTTTTCAAATGCCCTTGCAACGCAATGTTCGCCATGGAGTTGTCCTGATGAGGATCACAAACTCAAATCAATATAATAAATAGACAGCCTTGACTGATCTTGACTGGCTGAATCTGCTGATCGTCGATGCAGTTTTTCCAAAGATTTCCAAAGTTCTTCCATCTATCAACCCATTCAATTTGTAGTGGCTATATTTGGAGGCTGCATGGACAGACGGAATAGGGCAATTTGAAGAGTCCTGACTCCAAGACACGTTGTGACTGTTCGCATGTCCACCGCCGGCAAAATATGATTTGTTGACATTCTGTTGACAAGCGGGAGAGAAGGGGTGCGATGGTTTGTTGCAAGTATTTACCCCGAGCTGAGGTCCATCTAGGTCCTTGGATGTCCTTGGTTATTGTGAGATATTGCGAGTCGTCTTCATTTGCCTCCACTATCAAGCAACATGTCAACAAAATGCCAACAAAATGTCAACGGATGCTCAAACTGTGGACTGCCCACGCGTTTCAGGCTGCAATCAGTGCATGTGCGAAGGCAAGTGAGTGGGTCAGAAACTTGGAGTTCCAGGGACCGCCACGCTGTTTCCAATCAGTTTTACACAGCTTGACATGGCTTCAGGAGTTGGCTTTCTTTACTGGACAATACTGGACAAATCTGTTCGAGCCAAACATCTATACTTTGCCTTTAAATTGCTTTTATTATGACATTTGCCATTCTGACGCGCAAACCGTCACGGAAGCTGAGGAGACTGCGCTGGCCTTAATGAACGAGGAATCTCGGCAGGTGAAAGGCGAAAACATCAGGCGCCGGCAGAGATCACCAATCTTTGGATCGATTCCAGATAGTTTCGCAATGTTTTGCAAGGATTCTAATTTAATTATTTGATCAATTTTGACTTGATCAATTTTGATCATACGTGATCATCGTGATCTCAACGTCGACGTATCCGCCAGAACATGCTGTGGACAGGACCTACAATGCTGCCCTCAGCGGATGTGCTTCCGCTGGAAAGTGTGAACATGCGTCTTGGCTCGATGTGGCTTGATAGTCCAACGATGAAGCCCTCCAACTCCCAACTTGGGCCCAGTGAAGCTCATCTCAGTCTCGGATTTTTGGTGCCAAGTCATGGTGATTCATGGTGGCCCCACACTGGATCACAGATATCACTGATATATACAGATATCACATTCATGTCGGTTTCTGAAGACATGCTGAGGACATGCTGCACAAGCTGAAGACAAGCTGAAGACATGCTGAAGACATGCTGAAAACACTTAAATGGACGCCATTGGTCTGAGGCCATGCTGCTGATGGAACAGCTCCTGGACTGAGGGTAATGGAAATTGTGCATGAGCATGCCAGGTTTGACACCAACACAAGTTGTAACACAAGGGCTAAAGTCTTAAGATTGGAGAGACTTGGAACTGTCAAAAGACTTCAAGAAACTGTCATTTTTTGTGAGTGATTGTTTTACCTTTATATTATATACAGATCCCCCTTACCATTTCCACTACTAAAAGGGTGAACACGTGCTTGGTACCATTTAGTAGCGAATCATGCTTTTTCATTGCAACCCGTTTTCACTACAAAATGGTTACGTAAAGTCATTTTGTAGTGACGGACATTGGCTTTTGATCCATCATAAAAACCCCAAAACCATTTTGTAGCAAGGGGGGTTGGTTCAGATTCAAGCATCATTTTGTAGTAAAAGGCTGTGTTTGTAAACGGTTTAGTGGGCACAACTTCTCTGCAGAATGCACACAGGGATATATACAGTATATATACGCGTGCGCGTGTATGTGATGTAACGAGATGCGATGTAATGTCATGTGATGTGACGTGATGTGATGCAATGTGTGTATGTATGCCTGCATGCATGTATGCATGTATAACAGAGATTTAGCGGCGAAAGTGTTTGCAACTCATGTGCCGCCTGCAGGATTTCAACCTCTTCCCAAATCTCATGACTTACAGTTGCTGGGACTAGCATGGTGCTGGGGAAATGCAACAACGAACTCCAAACACTAATTACTATGCGTTCTTTCAGCTGTGCAATTTGATGGTGTTTACATGTTTTGCCATTTTGACGGCTTCTGGATTGTTCGGGCTTCGTGCCAGCATATTCCATCTGATGACGCTTGTCTGGCAAGGATATGCGATTGCTTCCTGCGAAGAAAGTGGAGAGTGGGAGTTGGCCCTGGACCGGCATCCTGCAAATTTAATTATAATCAAATTTCTACAAGCTCAATGGATGTTCCCAGGCATGATTCAAGTCAGCTTCGCAGAAATTCACAAGTCTTTTTTGCCAGGATCTCATGTCAGAAATGAGCGAGGCGAAGTTCGAACCTGGCAACATGATCTTTCGTGTCTTGGCAGGTGAGTCGAGTCTGAGGCCTCGTGTTGGCGCAGATACGTAAACAATCGTAAACACATCATTGGCATCTTCAGCGGCTGAGGATCTGTGGCGAAGGTGTGTCGTGCTGGTGGCCGCCCTGATGTGGCAGAAACCATGGAGTCGAAGGTGAAAGACCTTCAGCCTGAAAGGGTGTAGCTGTGTAGCGCATCGAAGAAAAAAACATGGCAATCGGAAAGGATGTAGGAAAGGCCTTGCTGGAAAGTTTTATGGACGCATCTGGCATTCCACATATTTCATCATATTTCCATACCAAGCAGCACCTTGCATTGTTTTTACCTAATTGTCTACATTTCATACTCCTGGGATTTCATGCGGCATGTGGATCTGTATTTTCCATGGGGGTTCTTGTTCGGTTCATGCCGGACTTTTGAAGCACATGTTCTGCCATACGGCGATTTTCAAGGTGAAGCAGTGGCCAGCACTTGGCAAACGATGCAAATGCGGTGAGACATATTGAGACTCAGAGGTTGGCATGTGGCAATTAAGCAGTTAAGGATAGTTAAGGTTGGAAAAGCAGGCCCGATGGTCTTCACTTGGAAGCAAACCCGGGCTAAATAGACATGGCATGAGATGGCATGACAGCCGGCACAAGATGCAAAGCAGCCGCGCTCAGGACACTGTAAACAGTTGCAGGCAGTTGTAGACAGTAGGCACAGTAGCCGCCCTTTGCGTTTCATTTTTGACTGCTTTGCACTGGTGACAAAGCTGCAGCTCCAAAATTCCATGGGCCGGCTAGCTTCTCAGCCAACGCAGCCCATAGATATGGGGAAAGTCGAGGAGAGAGAAACTTCTGCAGATAGAGAAGATAATCTTGCGGAACGCCTGGTCATGCGACGGTATGCTACGGTCTTAGGTTGGCAGCTGGTGGTCCACAAGTGCGATTGGCGGCGGTCACTGGCACAAGGAGCATACTCTTATGTCGCCCATCCATGTTTATACGGTGCATTGCGGGAGGGACGGAAATCATCGGGAATCATTTGAAGCATTTTGAAGCTGTTTCTGTTTCCGATCCAAAAGCTGTTGGAGTTGATGTCACTCGTGGCAAGGCCAGGACGCCCTTCCCTAATCGCCTTGGTCATCACCGTCCCGTCGTTTCTATAATTCTGTAGTTGACTACTATTGAACCTTCTATTGAATCACCAAAAGATCCAAAAGACCCTCAGGTGGGGATAGGCTACATAGGGATACCACGATGCCCTGTTTGTGAACATGTTGGGAACATTTTCAAGAGTCATCGAGTCATCCTCGGTCGAAGTCGAAGGCTTTGACATTGATGCTTCCCTCTTGGATGGCCTCCTGGGTTTCACTTTGTGTGTGAGCCCCAGAGAACTGAACAATCCTTCATTCCCGTGAGCGAGTAAAGATGGTAAAGCAATGATGTGGAACCACAAGTTACAATTCAAAGTCTGTGAAAACCTCTGAAAACCCAAGGCAGAATTGCTGTGAACGAGGACGGCTGGCACTGGTTTCACCCTGGAGTACCAGCAAACTTGGCCATCGACCCTTGGGTGAAAAACGTCTCAGATTGTCCATTGGGTGAAACGTATTTGAAGCCACCCATGGAGGTTCCATCACAGGCCTAGTAACTAGTCGGTCATCACAGTTTCATCACGATTGAGCAAGATTTATTGAAGCAGTTGGGAGTGCTACATCATGAGTTTTCCTTTGTGACAGGATGGCTCTATTTTAGAAGAGGACTGGACCATCCGACCCCTACTTGTGATTTCATTTCAGCCTCAACATGTCGACGCCGACTGGTAACTTGTATTTCACCATGCCAGGCTTAAAACCCGTGTAAAGTCCACGCGACAAAACCGCATTGGTTGCCATGTGTAGAATGCGCAGAATCATGATGCCTGCCCTCCCAGTCGCAAGCCTCCCAATCGGCCCAATCGTAAGCATCTTTTGCCAGCCCAAGTGTGCAGTGCAAAGTCCAGCTTCCACAGGTTTGGATGGGAGATCCCCGCCGGGGGCGTTGGGGGAACGAAGGTCCCAGCCTTATTGCCATGCGTTGCCACTGCGCAGGGAAGATGATGGAACGACATGGAACGACATGGAACGACCTGTGGGCTGACCTGTGTGACTCCGCATTGTTCGAGGAGCCCGACCAAGCTCTTCTCCAAGCAGTCCAGTTGAGGCGGGAATGAAGGAAACGAAGGCCGCCCAGATTCAGTATTGAGTACCAATACCAGGGCAAGGATCCCTCCAAGTTGAGAGCTGCAAAGATTATACTGCTGTATTGCGAATCTGTGACTGGATGCATTGGATAAAATTTGCAGCAGTATATATAACTGAATATCTGAGCCACTGAACCTCAACTGGTACCACCCCTTTGGGATCACGTGATAGGGTTGCGGTGCAGCTTCCAAAATGCGCGTTTTATTTTTGCAGATCTGGTGATGTTTGGTCCGTGACATTCCGTGACAGGAGCTCGACGCTCGGGAAGTGACATCCTGAATGAGGTATAAAGGGCGGCAAAATATTCAAAATATCAATCCAGGTTGGACCATGCAGAGATGCAGAAATGCAGAGATGCAGAGATGAAGCATGTGGAAGCCATAGCTTTAAGCAGCTTAGACAGATAGCCATGCCCATGCAATAGCAGTAGCACATGTAGCACTTAGCAGCTTAGCATGTAAGACCTGCATGTTGGGCTCATAGCTGTGCTCGCTGCTCTCGAGCCATGGATTTCACTGGGGCATTGGACCTGCTTCGCGTAGTCCGTGGGGATGAGGCATGGCAGGACATGTTTTCATATTTTTCCACCTGATCAAAGGAAGTTGGGAAGCAATCTTTCGAGTTACGGACAAAGAGAATTGTGAGGCTTGACTATACATAACACAACAATACATCGCATAACAATACATCACACAACAACACATCACACACCAATACATCACATGACAATACGTAACACAACAATACATCACACACCAATACATCACATAACAATACATAACACAACAATACATCACAGAACAATACATCACATAACAATACATCAGACAACAATACATAACAATACATCACACAACAATACATCACATCACAATACATGACACAGCAATACATCACATAACAATACAAATGGCTGCATGAATGTTGCATGGGGCTTGTTTTGGGGAGGAAGCCGGAGCGCGAAACTTTGCGCTTTTCGGGTAAAGTGGGTGCAGCCGACGATGCAGGGCAGCTGTGTGACGCGGGTGCGGGCTGGGATCGTTCTGATGTTTTTTTGCTTTGCCGCAGTGTAATGGTGGCTCCAAGCTGCTTTCGATGCGTTTGTGTGTGTGCGTAGTTATAGGGTATTTTGGAATTTGCGGTTGCTGATCGCAGTGGAATGGCTGCATGATTGTTGTCATGTTCTGTTGCCATGTGCGTACATACATGATCATACATGCGGGTTTGTGACGTGGCGCGGCAAAACGCATTGTAATGGCTGCATCATGGTTCCTTGCTGCTGCGGCTGCCTGCGTAATACTATTGTCTGTCGCACGTGAGGGTCGTGAATCGTATTGGAGTGGCCGCATCAGAGTTGCGAGAGTGATTTGTCACCAGATTTTCTCAATTTTGGCACTGGTGATTTTCCTTTCAAAACTCATTTTAAATCATTTTAAAACGTGCCTCAAAATCGGCTTTGGCGCCGAGACCCGGTTTTGGAGCTGCAACGTCTGTTGTCGTGATGTACAAGCAAGCTTCTCGGTGTAAAAACTTCTTGCTGTCTGTTAGAAATAATTGTGCGTAAAAGCTTCCTGTGTGTAAAATTTTCTGTGTAAAAAAATGCTGTGTGTAAAAGATTCTCTGTGTAAAAGCTTGCTGTGTATATATCAAAGCCTCTCTGCGTAAAAAGTTGTTATGTGTAAAACTTTCTGTGTAAAGGCTTGCTGTGTGTCAAAGTTTTCTTTGTGTAAAAGCTTGCTGTGTGTCAAAGTTTTCTTTGTGTAAAAGCTTGCTGTGTGCAAAAACTTCTCTGTGTAAAAGCATGCTGTGTGTAAAAGCTTCTCATGTGTAGAAGGCTTCTCTGTGTAAACGCATCTGTGTCGCAAGCTTCTGTGTGCAAAAGTTTCTCTGTGCAAAAGCTTTCTGCGCGCAACGGTTTTTGGTGTACAAGTAAGCGACTTCTCTCTGACAGTAAAAGCTTTCTGAAGAGCTTCGATGAGATGAGAAAGGTGGAGCAGTGCTCAGATGAAAATAGTTGAGGAGAACTTAGATGACATACGGGCAGAGATGAGATGATTTGAGGCGAGAAGAGCTCAGATGAGATGAGATGAGACGAAGTGTCGAGTGTGAAGTGCAAGTGCGAAGTGTGAAGTATGATCTTTGGAACAGTGCACCACTCTCGTACAAAGCACGCACGCACGGGCCTGGCTGGCGCTCGGCGCATGCAAGTTCTATAGATGAGAAAGGTTAAAAGTGTAACTATATAACCCTAAGGCAACTTCCGCCCCGCCTCGTGCGGGCACTACTGCTACAATTGCAGGATGAACATAGACGGATTGATGCTGACGTATGCTGCATACATACGCAACGATGTCACGTGAGGCGATGCATGCATTGACGCTGAGGGTTGAACACCGATGATCCGACACACCTCAGCACCCGTCAGCACCCTAAGGTGAGTGCATATTCCGAGCCTAACGTGAGACTTTTTCTGCAACAGCGTAAAGAAGAGCTAGAGGACCTGCTGCTGCGTAAATCATTAAGAAGGTATTGTGAACACTGTGAACCCACAACAAAAAATTGGGCGAAGGGGAATTGAAGATTTGTTATGACTAGGATTGAGGGTGACCCGAGCTAAGTTGTAGATATTTGTAGGCTGCATCAGGTAACTGCATGGTGCCGGTACGATTCGCAGGAAAAGGACTACTACAACCAGAAGGCTCGTGCTCTGCCAGGATCTGCCGATTTTTTCTTCGTTTCCTACGCCTGGGAGCCTCCAAGTCAATCTGATCCACGCAGAGGTGCCAGACCACAGGGGGCGGCTGAACCAAAATTGAGTTTTGAACTTTAAATCTCAATAAATTCAGATCTTGATCTTTGAGTTCACCTTCAATTCACTTTTTTACCAGTTGCGTTCTTTCATCCTTTTTGCTTTTGCAAAACGGAAAATGTCACGGGTATGTGATGCATTGTCAGGCGGCATCTTCTCAAAAATGGAAAGCCAAAGAATGCCACGACATGCCATGAGGATCATGCGGCCATGACATTGCGAAAGTTTGGCTCAGAGTGAGACGACCAGGAAAGTGTGTGTGCTCATCCCGCACAGAAACCATGTCTCTCGCCTTTGTTGCACCAAGTGTGGGCACCGTGGCCAAGCATGACTTGAGGGGCGACTTGAGGGGCGCTCAGTTCTCCTCCAGGCCAACCGCCTTGGTCAGTGGCTACTCTGAGGACCCATCTGTTCCTTGACAAGTTAAGCATAGTTAAGCTGGTTAAGCTGTTGCGCGGGTTGTGTTTGTGCTGATTGATAGCCAATGATAGCCATCACTCGCAAGACTCCAGGCACATTTGGGCCTGCATCACTGACTTGATGATTTTGCATGATTTTGCTGTCTCTTGATGTCACTTGCCTTTGATCTGACAGGTTCAGCATGCCATGACTTCTATGGCCGCCATGTTCGTGGTGGTTGGTGGCGTCCGCTGGCGTGAGCGCCGCAGCGCTCTCCGCGCTGGTGGTGGCCCATCCACTGCTGTGGTGGCATCTCCCCCTGAGACGTACCAAGAACTCGTTGACAAGTCAGAATACTTGCGAGATCAGCATTGGACCAAGACCTTCCATGCCTCTTTCATGGGCGGTGCATATGTGGGTATGGCTGGTTTGCTCTCTTTGGTGCTTGGTGGAAACATGGCCTCAAAGTTCATCACCCAGAAAGCTGTGTTCGCAGCCTTGTTCCCCATCAACCTGTTGCTGGTGTTGACAACAGGTGGACAGCTTTTCACTGGAAACAGTGCCACCATGGCTATTGGAATCTACGAGAAGAAGTGCACCGTGAAGGATTTGATTCGCAATTGGAGCATTGCTTACATTGGAAACATTTGCGGGTGCTTGTTGATTGATGCTGTGGCACGCTACACCGGAATGTTCACGCAGGTGCGGCCGATGGCAGTCCACACTGTGATGAAGAAGTGCTCTGCAACTTTCGGCCAGACAGTGGTGAAGGGCATCATGTGCAACTGGCTTGTTTGCATGGCTGTGTGGCTATGCACCATGGCAAAGGACATGACGGGCAAGATGGTGGGAGTTTGGTTCCCTATCTCCATGTTCATTGCCATTGGCTTTGAACACTCTGTGGCCAACATGTTCATCCTCCCAGCCGGCTTGTTCTCTGGCGCCCCACTCACTTGGGGAGACATTTTAATCAAGAACTTGATTCCTGTGACCATCGGCAATGCCATTGCTGGTGCTTTTGTGGTCGGTGCTGGCATGTCCTTCATGTTCGGCAAGTTGGGCAAGAAGGAGTGAAGATGAGGCCTTTGCAAGATAAGAGCTTAGTAGCCTTTGAAGGAATAGGTTGCTGGCATTTTTCCTAAGGGCACGACAACAAGTGACCGTCAATAGGTGGAGAGTGTGCTGATTTGAAAGCACAGCTCCACCAGCGGACTGACGACGCAAGACCGCTTTTTGATTGGAAGAAAATCAGGGGGGAGGGCTGCTAGCTAGCATAAAAAGGGTTGGTTTTCTGGTTTGAACATTTGAGAGTGCAGATTCAAGATCTTGGCCTGGCAGGTGAAGTTTGCATTGTGTTTGCACCTACTACCACCAGCCACAACAGACACAGCAACTACTTAACTACTTCCAAGCTCCGATTTGAAGCTGAAAGACTGCACGGAATCGTAATCTTTGAAAAAAACATCATGACAAAACATACTTGGCCTTGTCAATGCCAAAGAATGCCACGACATGCCATGAGGATCATGCGGCCATGACATTGCGAAAGTTTGGCTCAGAGTGAGACGACCAGGAAAGTGTGTGTGCTCATCCCGCACAGAAACCATGTCTCTCGCCTTTGTTGCACCAAGTGTGGGCACCGTGGCCAAGCATGACTTGAGGGGCGACTTGAGGGGCGCTCAGTTCTCCTCCAGGCCAACCGCCTTGGTCAGTGGCTACTCTGAGGACCCATCTGTTCCTTGACAAGTTAA